AATCTATGAGCACGAGAAAGAGGAGGTCCGTAAGCTGTTGGCTGACCGAGCCGCTGGAAAGAAGACCGGCAACAAGTCTGCCAACATCCTAATGAAGCTCCGACAAGCCGCCATCCATCCCCTGCTATACAGGCGCCACTATGATAACTCCACTCTGAGCCGCATGGCCAAGGCGTGTCTCAAGGAGGAGCAATGGTCTCTATCAAACCCGGATATCATCTACGAGGAACTCCAAGCATACAACGACTTCGAGTGCCACACCATGTGTGTGGATCACCCTCACTCTCTGGGCAGGTTCGCTCTGAAGAACAACGAATGGATGGATTCCGGCAAAGTAGACAAACTTTGCGACCTTCTGAAGCGGTTCAAGGAGAACGGCGACCGTGCTTTGGTTTTCTCTCAGTTCACACTAGTCATGGATATCCTCGAACACGTCCTCGAAAACCAGCACATCGGCTTCGTCCGACTGGACGGCAGGACAAACGTCGAAGACCGCCAGTCCATCCTGGACGCGTTCCACGAGCGCACCGAAATACCCGTCTTCCTCCTTTCCACCAAAGCTGGTGGTGCAGGCATTAACTTGGCCTGCGCCAACAAAGTCATCATCTTCGACTCCAGTTTCAACCCTCAGGAGGACGTCCAGGCCGAGAACCGCGCCCACCGTGTTGGCCAAACCCGTGAAGTGGAAGTCATTCGCCTTGTGACAAAGGGAACCATTGAAGAGCAAATCTACGCTCTCGGACAGACCAAGCTTGCGCTCGACCAAGCCGTGGCCGGTGAAGAAAGCGCCGAGTCTAAGAAGGCCGAAGATGCAGGCATGAAAGTGGTGGAGGATATGGTTCTTGCGGACATGCAGCACGATAAATCCGATGACGCATAAACGTGACACATTATTTTGTACTCTTGCTACTATATGCTATATGGTAGCTTAAAACATGTACCGGCGCAATCTTGTTTCATTTCGTTTTCTGTCTTGTTCCATCCAACCTACAACTTTTCGTTCTCCATCCCTCCGTCTAATACACGATACACCAGCAATTGATAAACCCATGCTTGCTCGCATGTGACCGTTATCTTGTGTTTCCCAGCGGTCTTTTCCACCTACCTACCTATTTAACACATACACACCCTTACATTACAGCATCACCACAGAGAGTGGCAGTGCTTACACACACACACACACACACACACACACACACACACACACACACACACACACACACACACACACACATACCTACACGACGCGGAACAGATGCCGGAGATGTTGTTTTGCTAGTAGTTTACTTTCACCGAACATTTCGGTTTTATGGGCTGAGGAAGTGGGTTTTCTTCTCTATTGGGTCTTGGTTTCTCATGTTTTCTTCTACTGTTCGATAATAGAAAAGGAGTTGGGGTTCTTTTGTGTCTTTTACTCTTCTTCCTGTGTCTCGGTGGTTGGCTTCGATACGCATACTACTACATACTACATATATAGGTGGGCGTTGATACTAGTAATATATCGATTGATTGATTCATCGAAGGATCGGGTGTATTGTGCTTTATTCTGGGGTACTGTTTAGTTTTAGTGTGTATTGTATCCGAGCATATATTATGCGGACTACTAATTAGGCTGGGCAGCTACTAGACAATGACTAAGTAGTAATTTTCATTCGTATCGTATATATTCGTGTAGTACTATGTATGTATAACCCCTAGAACACGAGAGCCTCTATTAACAACACACCGTGGGAATCTAATTAAAATGCAGCAAATGGGGGAACCGATATACAACACCAGATAATGCGATAGTAGCTTGGAAACCAAAAGAAAAACAGGGAAAGCAAAGGCAAGACAAGGAAGCAAGGGATGCAGAGGCATCAGGTTGACTTAAGCTGTCAACTCCTGCTTTTGGGGCGCAGCATCAGGAACCGGAACAGAGACATCAGCCTGGGTCTCCGCCTCAGCCTTGGTCTTCGTAGGAGCTGGGATGGAGTTGGTGCGAATGGGTCCGCCTGCGCTGACTGCGGGAGAGGTAGACTTGACGCGAGAGGCACCGCCAGCAGCCCGTGCGGATTCGTTGTTCTCCATGGCGTTCTGGACAGCCTTGGTGCGGATGTGTTCGGGCTGGAGGTCTTTGGTGGTAACTGACTTGTCGGTGAGGTTGAGGATGTCGTCCACGTGCATGGCGAGGGGAAGGAGGTCCTCGAAGCCGAGGGCATGGCATGTGTCGGCGTAGGATCTGGCTGCCTTAGCGTTCTTGCCTTCCTGGAGCTTGCCGGGGACGAGGATGTTGAGGAGATATTTGGAGTTGCCGAAGCGGTTCTCGGACTCGAGACAGAACTTGATGTATTCGTGGACTACCTCCTTCCAAGGGAGAAGGCCGCCCTCAGCTTCGGTACGGAAGCAGGATGGGTTTGCTTCTGCGGATGTGGCGATCATGGCGCCGTCGACGCCGAACTCTTTCATCAAGGCGTGGCCTTCGTCTTTGGAGGTTACATCACCGTTGATAACGCATGCGACACCAGCCTCATGACAGATGTCGGCAATCATGCGCACCTGATCACGAATAGCGCGTTCACGGGGTCTCATGGGCGGCGTCCGACAATGCACCGTCAAGCCTGTAATGCCTGTCTTCACGAGCCGCGACACCAAAGCCCTTGTCTCCTCCGGATCTTTCAAGATGCGGATCTTGACCGAAATACCGATCTGGAACGGCGTCCCGACCTCCTTCACCAGGGCTTCCAGGATCGCAACCAATTTATCCGGTGTCTTGAGAAGCGCCGCACCCATACCACCGCTCGTGCTGAAGGGCTTCGGACATCCCGAGTTCACATCAATACCGGCGACATCGCCCGCGACGAGTTTGGCTGCTTCGACGGCGATTTCAGGCGTGGCAGTGCCGATTTGATAGATGAGCTTGCCCTTTTCGCGGACGGGGTCGAGACGGTAAATCACGGATTCTTGGCCTGCCTTTTCGGTGCGGCCGCCATTGGAGGGCATGCGGGTGAATTCGATGGTGCCGTTGCGGGGGTTCACGCGGCGGACGGCGCCTGCCATGGCCCGGTCGATGGTTTCGGGGCCCCAAACGAGATCAGCGCCGTACTTGAGGGCGATGAGGCGGGAGGGCAGTTCGCCGGAGCGCACCATGGGGGCCAGGACTACTTTGCCACGGTAGTCGACCCCGTTGGCGGGGATGGGGACGCGGGGAGGAGTGGTGAGAGAAGCCATTGCGGTGCGGAGGAATCTTAGCATAGCATTATCGGGTTGACGGAAGTAAGGATAGTGTAGTGTGGGAGATGAACGAGCCGTGTGAGCGGTATGAGCCCGTAGGAGTGTAGTAGAGTGATTTTATGGATCGAGTCGCATCCCAGATCGCTGATGGATCAAAGCCGGTGGAGGCGGAGACGAAAAATGCCGGGTCACGTGGCGATACCCGATAACTTTTTTTCTTCCCCTGCCAAGTCATGTGATCTTTACTAGAGCACTACGGGGAACAGATGGGAGCGGAGTGTAGAGGCGATGGCTGGAAGTGCGCCTTATTCAAGGCTTACGAGGCTCACTACCAGCTTCTGATGAGATATATTATATTAGATACAAATAAAATGCCAATTACGCCATGGTAAACTCCATACGCTATAGGTCGATATTATGTGACTTATATCGAAATGGTTTGATCGAGCCTTTGCAGTGGAGATAATTGCAATATTACCCCTTTAGGAAGTAACCACAACCTCATTGTGGCCCCTGGTAGTGTAGACTGAGCTCTAGATATATCCATGGCTCTGGTTGTTCCTGTCTCTTCTGATCACATGACGATTTGCCTGATCGGTTCTGGTGAGGTTACAATGGATTGTTACTTCGCATGTCTTCTCTCCGTCCGGGTACCTGCCAAGCCGTGAACATGACAGGTATTCAAGCTCGCAGAGATATGCCGAGTGTCGATGACAGTGAGAGATTTGACAGATTCAACTGCCTTGATAGACTATACTGCATACACTCTGTACGTGTGTAGTGGAAGGTGATCTACAGTCTGGAGAGTATAAATTGTACAACTTAACCTCAGTCATCAACTTTGGCTACAGTACCAGTCAGTCCATCGCAAGGTCTCCGGTTGGCTACTGGGGATTCTTGGGACCACGAATGTCGCAATATCCCACCAGTCAGACCATTCAGGGACAGCACAAGCCAGGCCTGTGGAACGCCATCAGCGGTGGAGACCCATCCAGGACCAGTCATTCTGCGGCGAAAGTCTCAGAGTTGGTGGGCATCCAGCCAGGTATGGAGGGTGGGAGCAGGTTGATAACTAGTTGGAACTAGAGTTGGGAAGAGTACGTATATTGCCTGGTCATGTATGACTTGGAGAAGGGGTGTGAATAGCTTCCCCTTCGCTATAGCCATCAGATACTTCCTACTGAAGACACACTTAGGGACGGGCTGAACAGATAGTAGTCCAGAATTATTACATGAGGAAAAAGAAGAAAAAGGAATAGTAGAACCCGAGGCTGGGTCCTTTTTTCCCGACCGATTTTCCTTCCCGACCGTGGCAGTTCCATCGATTCCCATCCCTTTTTATACCTCGCCGTGGACAACGAGCACGAATTCCCACTCTGTCCGGTTGTCAATTGAACCAATTCAACACGGGCATAGTCTCAAAGCCATTTTCAATGTTCCCGGGGGTCCGTAGGGTATCTAAGGGAGTCCAAATTGGAGGCCGCGCATTGAATTCAAATCCATTGAGCCGGCCACCCACCGCCTGTCCGATCCTCGCGCGTACTGGCTGTTCGCCCGTCCTTCGCACATCCGCAACGCTGGCTCCCCCCACCAAGCAAGCCCCCCCTCCTCCCTCTCTCTCTTCCTCTCCCTCCCCTCCTCTTTCTTCCTCTTCTTCTCTTTCTGCTACAGCTCTGTCTCCCTCTTCCTCCTCTCGAGTTGATCGTTCGGTTTCGTTCGCTTCATCTCGTGCTGCCCTTTTATCCAAACACTTTTCCACCTCCGCTGCCCCGCCGCAATCGCCCACCATGTCCTACACCGTCCGCAAGATCGGCCAGGCCAACACCCTGGAGCACCGTGTTTACATTGAGAAGGATGGCCAGCCCGTCTCTCCCTTCCACGACATTCCCCTCTATGCCAACGAGCAGCAGACCATCCTCAACATGGTCGTTGAGATCCCCCGCTGGACCAACGCCAAGCAGGAGGTACGGACGCCACAAATACACACAACAACCCCCCCCCCCTGCAAGTGGGGGGCTACGCTGTAGCTTGACATCGGTATACTGATTTTGCGACCCAGATCTCCAAGGAGGAGTTCCTCAACCCCATCAAGCAGGATGTGAAGAAGGGCAAGCTCCGCTACGTCCGCAACTGCTTCCCCCACAAGGGTTACCTCTGGAACTACGGTGCCTTCCCCCAGGTATGTAAAAGAACGCCACGTCAAAATTTGTACCACCCCGCACTGACCTTTTACATAGACCTGGGAAGACCCCAACACCGTCCACCCCGAGACCAAGGCCAAGGGTGACAACGACCCGCTCGACGTTTGCGAGATCGGTGAGCTCGTCGGCTACCCCGGTCAGGTCAAGCAGGTTAAGGTCCTCGGTGTGATGGCTCTTCTCGACGAGGAGGAGACCGACTGGAAGGTCATCGTCATCGACGTCAACGACCCCCTGGCCCCTAAGCTCAACGACGTTGAGGATGTTGAGCGCCACCTTCCTGGCCTCCTCCGCGCCACCAACGAGTGGTTCCGTATCTACAAGATCCCCGACGGAAAGCCCGAGAACCAGTTCGCTTTCTCCGGCGAGTGCAAGAACAAGAAGTACGTGCTGACGGTGCCTTATGTTATGTACCCAGGCTAACAGTTCAACCCATAGGTACGCTCTCGATGTCATCCGCGAGTGCGCTGACGCCTGGGAGAAGCTCATCTCCGGCAAGTCTCCTCGTGGTGAGATCAGCGTGTAAGTATCCTTGAGTCCTGACTTAGGAAGATATTATACTAATTGCATTTAGTGCTACCACCACCGTCGAGGGTGCCGAGCGTGCCGACGCTGCTCAGCTCGCTGCCATCCCCAAGGGCGAGAACCTCCCCCCTGCCCCCATTGACGGCAGCGTTGACAAGTGGTTCTTCATCTCCGGTGCCGCTGTCTAAATGTACCTATATAACAAAATTTAAATACCACAATACCACATTCCCAAGAGGAAATTTCACAGAAGTGCAATATTGTTCTCTTCATCGTAGATTATCGTAAATATAGTCAGACAAATCTGGTGACGTATTCGGTTAACATGTAAGCGCTATTTGGCTCTTCAAATCTACTACCAAAACAGCATCTAAAACCAGCACTATAAGAAATGGAGTATCACTCAATGGCTAATATATACACATACACATACAGAACATGATAGTACAAAGTACAAACAGACCGACATGATCACCCCTTCGGTCCTGAAAGCCCCAGTCATAGTGCGCAGCCTCTCATCCAATCCCGAGTAAACAGGATAGACCAGACAGACAAGGGAACTCTCCGCGCCACGACGATAAAACCTCTCCCATTCATGCCGATGCGAGCACACCACCCAATCCATGCAAACTTCATAGAACAAACATCGAAAACAAAAAAAAAAACCCCCCCCCTAAGACTTCAGCGCCTCCTCACGCTCAATAGCTCTCCCAACACGAGCAATCTCCTCAACCACATCCCCAATCTTCATCTGGCGCTTTCCAACCTCAATCTTCAACTCCTTGCCATTCTTGAACCCTATCGTCAACTCGGGCTCTTGCGTCGACGACCGCGGCAGCTGAGTGACCTTGATGTCGATGTGGCCGGGGCTGGAGGCCGGCGTGGTCGTGGGATTGCGGAGGAGAGAGAGGATGAGTCTGCAGGGGCGGGCGGAGCGAAGGAAAGGGTTGAAAGTTGTGCGGAAGGTGGAGATTGTTGACAGAGGGATGGTCATTTTGGCGGTGGTTTTGTTGTCGATTTGGAGGGTCTTTTTTTCCTTGAATTGTTAGTTTATATGGTTTTTGATGGGGTTTGGGAGACGTACCTTGTTGGTGTTGGGAGATGTAGAAAGGTGGTATGTGTTGTATGAGTCAAGGCAATTGAGCTTGACGATGTGTTTGAGGTAATTGCTTGGTGTGGTGTATGATTTCTAGGGAATCGAGCGGAGAAAATAATCACCCTTCACGGATAACTTCAACTATCTTCAAATCCGTCCGCTCTCCGGGATGCGCAGCGCGGTCGGTCGGTCGCTGGGTGTTTGTCTGACATGCAAACATCTGCTGTGGTACGGGAGGTAGATCGGCGGCGGCGGCGGCGGCCTCAGGAACGGGCGCGATGACGCTGTAAAGTAAGTTGCGGACACATTGGCCATCTCCGCCTTTTTCCCCCTCTTGAATTTCACCTGCCTTTTCTTCTTCGGTGTCTTGATTTTTTTGGGGTTTGGGCTCTTGTGGATGCTGTAGCGAGGCGCTTTTCTGTATAATTATTGTATTTCTCCTGTGATATCTACTCTTACTTCTACTACATCATCGCACACGCAAAATGGCCAGCATCACCGATCTACAAGCTCGCTTGAAAGAGCTCTCCATAGCTCTGTCTCATATACAGCCCCTGGTTTCTCGGTTAAAGGGCTTTACGACTGCGGTTGGACAGGGAGATCAGCCTCGATTGGAATTGGGAACGGAAATCCATACTCGCTTGAAAGAAGCGGAGGAGCAACTGGAGTTGCTGAAGGTTGAGGTCGAGGCTCTGGAGGCTGCAGCGGATACGCGGCGCAAGGGTGTGGATAATGAGAAGGAGTCGGAGAGGGAACGGGTTATTGCTTTGGCGGACCGACTGGCGGACGATCTAAAGAGGTAGGTGGAGTGAATTATTGTTCTGTGTCTGTTCTTGATGGATGATATACTAATACGTGTGCTATGTCTATGACAGAACGAGAGGAGACTTCCGGAACGCACAGTTACAAGCGAAACGGAACGCTGAAGTTGCTCGACGGAAAGAGCGAGAGTTACTATTCACGAGATCCCAAAGTGCGGAGAGGAAGAAGCAGTCGAGTGAGAAGTTGACGCAGGATGATATTGTTAAAAATGCTTCAAATGATGTTACGGCTGCGCTGAGACGGACGCATCAGCTGATGCAGGCGGAGCTGTCGCGGAGTCAGTTTGCGCAGGAAACGTTAGGTTTGTGCTGGTTTATCATAAAGGCTTGTCGTGGTAATGGCTAACAATGTTGGGTTAGAACAATCGACTGCTGCGCTTTCCTCGTTGTCAGAATCCTATACAGATCTCGATTCTCTAATTTCATCGTCTCGCAACCTCATCGGGTCTCTGCTCCGCTCGCAAAAGTCGGATACGTGGTACCTTGAGACAGCTTTCTACATATTGGTGGGCACCATTACTTGGCTTGTCTTCAGGCGGATATTATACGGTCCCTTGTGGTGGCTTGTCTGGCTGCCCATCAGGCTGTTCGCGAGGTTTACATTTGCTATTTTGGGCGTCGTTGGGATTACTAGTAAGGCTGTTCAGTCTTCTGAACCTAGTACAATGCTCGAGTATGTGCCGCAAGAGACCCCGGTAGTTGAGCAGAAGGTGGAGCCGAACGTTCAAAGCGCTGAGGGCGAAGCGGTATGGGATCAAGTTCCGGTTGCAGATGAGGCAGAGGAGGACCGCTTAATCGATGAGATCGGCAAAATGGTGGAAGAAAGCGAGGAGCAAGAGGAGACCAACATTGACGACATCTCTGAAGAGGAAAGGCAAAGGCAGGCGGAGTTGCCCCGGAATCCAAAGAAGAGGATGTTTGAAGCGACGGATGTACCACAGCAGAAGGACGAACTATAGATAGAAAGTAATGTGTGATGATGACTGTCAAGCGCAGAAGCGTACTTGCTCATTAGCTTATTACAGCGAGCTCGATTGCCTACGTAAATCTTGATCACTCTATAGATAGTAGATCACTGCCTCGGCCTCAAGCGAACAATAAATGGCTTGGCGCCATCGCGTATCACGTGGAGACGCGTCCCGACACGCTTTCCGCCCGTGTGCCAGAGCTCCGACAGCAGCTTCCGCTATACCATTGATCAATCAATCGCAGTGCTGAAGTCTGGTACACACTCTCGAAGCTATGGCTGCCAACTTCTTCAACAACAAGGCCCGCGCTGCGGCAGCAGCAGCGAACCCTTCGAAACCGAAGCCCACAGATAGCAAGGAAGAGCAAGCAAAGCAACAACCATGGGTTGAGAAATAGTATGCCACCTACTGGACCAGACATATAGCACTCGAGCTGACATCTACAAAAGCCGTCCCAAGACCCTCGATGATGTCGCCGCTCAAGATCACACAACAAAAGTCCTCCAACGAACACTCCAAGCCTCCAACGTACGAAATAGATCCCATTGTCAGCCAGAAACGACACCCTGCTAACGAGTATCCAGCTCCCCCATATGCTCTTCTACGGACCGCCAGGTACCGGAAAAACATCCACCATCCTCGCCCTCGCCAAATCCCTCTTCGGACCATCCCTCTACCGCTCGCGCATTCTCGAACTGAACGCCTCCGACGAACGTGGTATTGGTATCGTGCGTGATAAGATCAAGAACTTTGCCCGTGCGCAACTCACACACTCCACGGGGTTGGGCGAGGAATACTTGGCGCAATACCCGTGCCCGCCGTTTAAGATTATTATTCTCGATGAAGCGGACAGCATGACGCAGGATGCGCAGTCTGCGTTGCGTCGTACGATGGAGCAGTATAGTCGAATTACCCGTTTCTGTTTGGTTTGCAACTACGTTACAAGAATTATCGAGCCACTTGCTAGTCGATGCAGCAAGTTTCGGTTCAAGGCCTTGGATAATTCGGCGGCTGGAGAGAGATTGGAGCATATTGCCAAGGTGGAAAATCTGAGGTTGGAGGATGGGGTTATTGATAAGTTGATTGCTTGCAGTGAGGGTGATATGCGTCGGGCGATTACGTATATGCAGAGTGCGGCTAAGCTGGTTGGGGCTGGTCGGGCTGGGAAGAAGGACGAGGATGAGGATGAGGAGATGACGGATCAGGAGTCGGAGGTTATTACTATTCGGACGATTGAGGAGATTGCTGGTGTTGTTCCGGAGGGCGTATTGGATGCGTTGGTGCAGGCAATGCAGCCGAAGAAGATCGGATCTTCGTATGAGGCTGTTGCGAAGGTGGTTACGGACATCATTGCTGATGGGTGGAGTGCAACGCAGCTTCTTTTGCAGGTACGTTGTTGGACGCAGTGGGAGTTGATTGATGCTAACTTTGGGTAGTTGTATCGACGGGTGGTTTTCAACGATGCGATCCCTGATATCCAGAAGAACAAGATCGTTATGGCGTTCTCGGATATGGATCGACGTCTGGTTGATGGTGCAGATGAGCACCTGTCTATCTTGGATATAGCTCTCAAGATCTCTGGCATCCTGGGAGGAGCTTAGATCAAGTTGGGGCTTCAAAGGCCCCTGGGCTACTCTACTTCATAATTGAGCGCTTTTCCGCCGAGACTCCTCCGATAGGATGTGGAAGAGCTGGCGACCAGCCATACAACCTGATGATATCAGGAGATACAAGACCGCGAGGATATGCGACGTCGTCCACATTTGCAGTGAGCTGAACTACAGTTGCGGCCGCTACCAGGCCGTGGGAAACAGCAGACGTGCTGCTCCATTCCATCTGGAGTTGAAAATTATGACTGTATGATATAATAATGAACGAGCTAAAAGCATCCACATCACTTCCATACCAACTTTGATGTACTTTGTAGTTCATTCGTAGGGCTGGGATATCCGCCCTCGGCCCCTCACGTGCGGCCCGCTCGCTGTTCTCACCGAGACCCGGATTGCTGTACGCCGCTCGAGTCATTCTACTTTCTGGCAAGCAATTCGGCCATTCCTTGCATCTGCTTATTAGAACCGGGAGCAGTCCCTTTTACTATTCCTTTCGACATAGACTGAATACCATAGACAGCCAACATGGCAACTTCCGCTACCTCCTCGGAATACCCCGCGTCGACGCATACACCCCGCTATTTGACCGGCGACGCTGCGGGCATCCAGGAATTCCTCGACAAGTTCGATGTGAGTCACACCATGCCTTCCTGATGATTAGATAGTATATTTGGAAGTATACAAAGCATAGATATACTGACAATGCCACCAGGTCTTTCTCTTTGACTGTGATGGTCCGTCGCATACCTATGCGCCTCCGCGCTCTCCCGACTGGCCCATGTATACATACTGACATGATGCGCATGCAGGCGTCCTTTGGTCGGGCGACCACCTCTTCCCCGGCACGAACGAGACTCTGGAGATGCTGCGGAGAAAGGGTATACCTCCTTCATAGGTTAATACTATCCGAGACAGAACACTAACAAGCATCCAGGCAAACAAGTCGTCTTCGTAACCAACAACAGCACCAAATCGCGCGCCGACTACAACAAGAAGCTCACAGCGCTAGGAATCCCCAGCAACACCGTACGTACCTACCACCACCATCTCATTACACATCTAACCCTATACCCAACAAACAAACAGGAAGAAATCTTCTCCTCCTCCTACAGCGCCTCAATCTACATCTCCCGCATCCTCTCCTTGCCCCCCAACAAACGCAAAGTCTTCGTAATCGGCGAAACCGGCATCGAACAAGAACTCGCGTCCGAGAACGTCCCCTTCATCGGGGCACCGACCCAGCCTACCGGCGCGAAATCACCCCGCAAGACTACAAGGACATAGCATCCGGGGACGCCTCCACGCTGCTTGACCCGGAGGTCGGAGTCGTGCTTGTCGGTCTGGACTTCCACATCAACTACTTCAAGCTCGCTCTCGCGTACCACTATGTCCGCCGGGGCGCGGTGTTCCTGGCTACGAATATCGACTCGACGTTGCCGAACTCCGGGACCTTGTTTCCGGGTGCGGGTAGTATGAGCGCGCCGTTGATTATGATGTTAGGGAAGGAGCCGACGTCATTGGGCAAGCCGAATCAGGCCATGATGGATGCTATTGAGGGGAAGTTTCGGTTTGATCGCAGTAGGGCTTGTATGGTGGGGGATCGGGCGAATACTGATATTAGGTTTGGGATTGAGGGCAGACTTGGGGGCACGTTGGGGGTGTTGACGGGGGTTAGTAGTAAGGAGGAGTTTGTCGAGGGGGATGTGAGGCCGAAGGTTTATTTGGATCGGTTGGCGGATTTGTTGATTGTTGATCAGGATCGGTAGAATGATGGGTGGGCTTGTGGTGTGGTTGAGGGTATAGTTAGTTGTGATAGACGTACATACATACATACATACATACATACAGAGTAAAGTTATGTTATAGAAGATAATTACTCCTCCACTTACTCTTCAACCTAACCTCCATCCTGGGCGGTTCCAACACCCCATCACTCCTAACAAACCCTCTCAACCTCCACAGCGCCAACATGGCTTCCACCGTCACCTTATTATCCGGCCTCAACACCACCGCCGTCTTCCCAAAAAGCCCCGGACAATACTCCCTCAACTCCGCCAACTCCTCCTCCCCCAACATCACCGTCAAATCAAACACCGGCGCCACCTTCTTCTGCTTCGATATACACACGATCTCCGGCATCCGCGGCCACAGCCCCGTGACTCTCCCAGGCTTCCCCCTCCGGCGATTATTCACCAACACCCCGCAACACTCCATCCGCTCAAACGGCTCCATAGACCACGTTCTCCGCGCTATGTGAGCTCGTCCGTACTTGCTAACCGGCAGAACCGTCCACACTCGGCGCTTCGCTTCAGGCTGCGTGTCGGGTGGGTCGCACGCCGCTTTGAGTTTCTGGACCACGTCCCGGCGCATCATTTTAAGCGTGAAGGTCGGTGTGTCTTCTCGTAGGGAGAGCTGCGATTCTTCCCAGCTTGTCACGGGTCCCAGGGGGTGTTTCCATCGGTGCGGGAGGAGTTTGGCGAGGGGTTCGCGCTTGCGGTTTGTTTTCGTGCTCCAGTAGGTGGAGGTTAGGGTGCGGAGGAGGGGGAGGCGGTCGACGATGCGGAGGGTTAGGTGGCGGGTTGTGTTCTTCTTGACGTTATTCTTGACGTTATTCTTGTTGTTGGGATTGCCGTTTTCGTCTTTCGTATGTCCTTCTTCTTGGGAAGGAGTTGTGGAAGAGGGATATAGTTTGTCCTTCATTAGTCCCACTGGAAGCAGCCAGAGCTTGTCTTCGACGTCGGGACGCTGTACAAACCCCCATTCGCTCATGAAGGCGCGCGGGACTCTCGCGCCGGTTACTTTGCAGGCTCGGAGGGGGGAGGCGAGGGCTTGCGCCCAGGGATTCAGGTGGATGTCGGATTCTTTGGGGTCGGGGCGGCGTTTCTTCTTGTGTAGCTTGTCGTGGCCGGGGCGGGGGTTGGTGAGGAGGGGGGATTGCGGGAGGAGTTCGGAGGGACGTAGTGGTTGCTTTGATCCTTTCTCATCTCCAGAAGCAGCAGCAGCAGCTTCTTTATTTTCTGTTGGGGTAGACTTCAATGTCTTGTCCGCGGAGGAGGCCGTCGGACGGAGAGGTTCCCGTGTGTCATTGGCGGTTGATATAGCACGATATCCCACCTCAGAGGAGCCATTCGGCCGGAAAAGCTGCCGGAATACCCTCAGACGCCAGGAAGCGTATGAGATCCGGCTGTTGAGACACGCCATGGCGTGGTGGGTGGTGAGGAGAAGGAATATAGTTTTCAGGAATCGGGGAAAAAAGGCGGCGGCGGCGGAGAGAGACATTGTCGGACGCGCTAAGCTTCGGCGGGATCTTGGAGCTCCGCCGGCGGACCAGATCTCCAACCATCATCATCTTCTTCATAGAGTCTTCTCCCGATCCTGCTCTATCAACTCTGTTCACCATTGGAGTATATTGCTGCTCATAATGAACACAACACGTCCTCTTCAGCGATTAGCTCGCGTCGTTGGCCGCCAGACTGTCAAGCCGGCGCTGCTGTCGCGCAGCTTTGCCAGCTCTGTTCCGACGCTATCAGGTGCCCGGTCTCCGCGGGGGTGGACGCCGACGCCGTTTGTTACTGAGACTGTGGTGAGTGGACACATTCTAATTTCTGATAGATGTATGAGTATACTAACGGTAATTAGGGAGGAGGATGGCACACATGTACGTTTACTGCAGCGACCACAGTACTTGACCCCAACTAACCAAGTACACACCCATCACAGACGACATCTTCTCTCGTCTCCTCAAGGTACATACACCCACCCCTCCACCCAATCCAATCCTAACAAAGTACAGGAACGAATCATCTGCCTAAACGGCGAAGTCGACGAAACCATGTCCGCCAGCATCGTCGCCCAACTCCTCTTCCTCGAAGCCGACAACCCCCAGAAGCCCATCCACCTCTACATCAACTCCCCCGGAGGGTCCGTAACCGCCGGTCTCGCCATCTACGACACAATGACCTACATCGCCTCCCCCGTGAGCACGATCTGCGTGGGCCAAGCCGCCTCGATGGGCTCGTTGCTGCTTTGTGGAGGACACCCGGGCAAGCGATTCTGCTTGCCGCATAGCTCGATCATGATGCATCAGCCGTCCGGGGGTTACTTTGGTCAAGCGAGTGATATTGCCATCCATGCGAAGGAGATACTCAGGGTGCGGAGCCAGTTGAATAAGATTTATAAGAGGCATTTGACGGGAAAGAAGGAGATGACGTTGGATGAGATTGAGAAGTTGATGGAGAGGGACTATTTCATGGGTGCGAAGGAGGCGCTTGATATGGGTATTGTGGATGAGATTTTGGATAGGAGGGGACCGCCGGGTGCGGAGGGGGGTGAAGCGATTCCGTGAGGATGTATACCCTTTTTTGTTTTGTGATTATGTGTTTTTGTTTGTATCGGTACTTGTGATGAAGTTATGGTATGGTTACATTATAGGATATTTGAGGTCTTTAGGGTAAATCGATCAGTAGATGGTTGTTCATGTATCCATCGTATAAGCATTGGCATATGTACAAATGTCAACTCATCTAACTCATTACATTACACTATATCACGCATCCGTCCCAATCCGCTCCATGCGCCCATCCGCGCCAACTCGGATGCCGAACCGTTCTCTCAAAAAGGCCGCGGTCTGGTCAGAAGGCACATACGGTGTCGTCCGCCGCGCTGTCGCAGGGCTGTATCGCCACTGATCACGGACAAGGTCAACCAATCCCACATTCATGATCGTTGATTGGCCCGACACGAACGTATCCATAGGATGGGCGTGTTGTGCATTCCTCCCTCCCTCGTCCGGATCAGCCAGCAACTGCGTTCTCTCCATCTCGCCCAGTTCAATTGTCTCCACATCTTCATCACCCTCCAATGTTCGCGACGAGCATCTCGTGGAAGGCCCACTCCCTCGCACCCCCCTCTCCTCCAGATCGTGGTCCTGTCGCTCTTCCTCCCCCTCAGGCGTGGTCTCAACCGGCGCACTCGCAGTAACCTCCACCGTCTTTACCCGCTCAACGATCAACCCCAACATGACCAGATCCAGAAACAAAATGAGACAATCCAGGAAAAGAAGTCTAGCGAACGGAATGGGCGCCTTCTGTCCAATAAAGTCAATCAAGATCCCGCCATGCAGGTATCCGCGCGTCGATTCGCTAGCTTCGGGTCTAGTGAAGAATTTATGAAAGATGATGCAGAAGAGGTTACTACCCAGTATAGCGCCGACGAAGGGTTGGTTTCTCGTAGGGTCGAAGGGGGGTGCTTTGGGTGTGAAGAAGATAAGTTGAATTATTGCGCGGAGGGCAAAGAGGATTATCGAGCAGCTGAAATATGTGTTGTTAGTGTGATGATTTATACTTTATGTATGGGGGCACCTCCGCTCGTGCGGAGTTGCGGGGGCGGGGGGCGTGGATTCTGCTCACTCCATATAATACAACGCTGAAAGCTCACAGTAAATAAGGATGTCTAGGTCGCGGAGCAGTCGGTCAATGAACGCGACTTTCGCGGCCGTCTGCACCTTCCTCAGACGCTCGCTGCGGCTGGTGGAGTTGGCGCTGGCGCCGCCATGAGGGTCGATGATGCCGGACACGTCAGCGATGTATTCCGCATCTCGATAGGCGTCCGGAGTGGTCATAGAGGGTCATGGGGGCATGGATGGCGTTGGGGGGTGAGGAGTGAGAGGGAAAGGTCTAGGGGGGCCAGTGCAGACCGGGGGGGACGAGGTGATGGGGGGAAGATGGAGTAGTTAGGGTGGTGTTTCAGGTGGAGAGACGGAGGGAGTTGGAGGTGGAGCGTCACCGGCAACGATGATGGCCGATGATGTGGATCAGGTGGCTGCGGACTTTTCTCGGCCCGGAGCGCTGCATCTGGCAACATCCGGGGTTAAACTATAACTTATCACAAATGATAATCTTTTTACTATGGCGATCTACTATGGAGGAAAGGTTGTTTGCTTATTTTCAGGAATTATTCCAGAATGATGCATCTTAGGTATTCTTATGCTTCTTGTATAACCTTCACCCACCCGTAGACTTATCCATCTAATCAACAAAGATCGTCTTGGAAAGACTGGCGTAGTGCTTGAAGAATCCAGTGAACAGACGGATCGAGTGTGCCACATCGAGGGTACCTCCCGTCTCACGGATACTGTGCATGCTCAACTGGGGGTTACCCAGATCCAATGTCCGAGCGCCAAGCGCCGCGGACAGCATTGGGCCAATGGTGCTTCCGCAGCTGGAGTCATTGCGGACAACAAACAGCTGCAGGGGAACCTTTTCGCCAACATCTTCCCCAGCCTTGCGAGCGACTTCCTGAAGAAGAACGATACCGGGCGAGTTGGTCGCATAGCGCGCGTTGGCGTTGATCTTGATAACAGGGCCCTTGTTGATTTGGGGCCGGTGGTCGTTCTCATACTTGGCCGTGTAATTCGGGTGAACTCCATGGGCCATATCAGCAGACAGTAGGAAAGACGTAGACAAGGTCTGCTCGTAAGCAGTGGCGATGTCGTCACTAGCGCCGGCCGTCGACGGGAGCACGGACAAGCGACGGATGACGGAGGGGAGGATGTTCGAGTCGGCACCCTGAGCAGTGCGGCTTCCGATTTCCTCGTGGTCAAAGAGTGCAATGAGACGGATAGCGGGTTCCTCGTCCAACGCTGAGGAGTCAGCCACAGAGTCGATCAAGCCGACGGTGGCACAGAAAGAGCTGTTCAGGTTGTCCAGGCGAGGCGAAAAGATGAACTCCTCCAGCAGTCCACCCAGGTTCGACTTCTGGGTATCGAACAAGATCATCTCAAAGTCAAGGACATCGAGGGGCTTGACACCGGCTTCGGCAGCAATAAGCTCAACCAGGTAAGGGTGGTGGCGCTCGGTGATGGCCTTCAGAGGAGACAAGTCGCCCTTGTCCTCGTTGGCTTCCTTGGCCGCTTTGTCAGTCTCCTCGGAGGCACCGGTACGGTTCAGCTCAGCAGCAACAAGACCAGCGATGGGGAACAGCTGGGTTTCCTTGTTGAAGGCAAAAGTCTCCTGGCGGTCCAGATGAATGGCCAGAGTGGGAATGCGGAGAACTATGCCTAGTCAGAAAAGCCGGTTGTACAAAGGTCAAATGTACTTACTGGGTCGGTCAATCTTGATCAACTTCTGCACAATTGAACCGTCGCCATTGCGGACCATAGCCCGACCTGCAACACCCAGATCACGGTCGAACCCTAGAGACAGTTAGCATGATATAGTCAAAGTGAATCAGTAGCACGGACAGGTGTGCCAGATGCCGCCTCCATAAGTCTCCACGCCGACTTGGACATATCCTTCCCCGCGCTTGTTGCTGACCGGCTTGACTCTCAGGACGGGGGAATCGGTGTGAGCACCGATCATCGAAATGGGGTTACCCGGCTAATCAATTGATATGATTAGCACAGAGGTCAGATCATTGACAATTGGCGGAAACCATACCTTCCATTTCTTGCCGACAGCAAAAGCGATGATGGTGGACTGGTTACGGGTCAAGTAGTACTTTCCACCAGGCCGGCAGGTTGACGCCCAAGAGTCCTTCTCCTGCACCGGGAATTAGCGGTTAATTCCGTGATACAATGCAGCCATCGCATACCTTGATCTCCTGGAAGCCAGCCTTGGCAAGGAGTTCCTTTGCCGACTGAACGGCATGGAACGCTACAGCAAAGTCAGCAATCGACTACCTTATAATAGTATAGAACGTAATGTGATTACGGGTAGGAGACGCATTGACAAAGGACAGGAAGTCCAGAGCCGGCTGCTTCAAACTTTGAGCAATTTTAGAAGTCATCTTGTCACGAAGGTCCCCAGGAGATGTGGATAAAGAAACATGGGGATCACGGGGAGGGGAAAAAGTGGGCATGAGATCATAGTAAGGCGGTCAGTTGGCGTCTCCGCATGGCTTCATCTATTTGACTAGTACCTAATAGGCGGACGGGTGGTTTATGGAATTCACTGATGTCGCTTAATTGGTTGCCAATTCCACTAAAGTGAAACTGGACAGATAAGCAGAAGATTAGCTGGGTTGGCGTGAATATCTCAATAATGTGTAGGCGGTTGTTGAATCGTGGTATCATGGATTTAAGTCAAACCACTAAGAACCAATAAATGACCTCATGTGGATTGTTATGTCTACTAGTCATCGGTCTGTGAGTATCCCCTAGCGTTCTTAGAAGTTTCAATCTAATTCAGATTCTCTTCATACAATAAGATTGTCTTTCTGTCTTCCTTGGCAGAAAACTGAAACAAACACGGTCGCGCCCTGTTTGTATCGGTGCTCGTCATGGGGTCCTTGCAAGACACGGTCATAGCTCGAAACTCAAGACATGGCACTTGGATAGAAATAGAAGTCTCATAATGGATGTTATTGTTAGTCATGTGAATCGCGGCACCATCGGAAATAGAGCAGATCAAATAAAAAAAGCAACTGAAAATAGTCGACCGTTGAGCCTCTAAGCTTGATGAGAATTCGGTACAGACGGTTGATCGCCAGTATACCCTGGAAATCCACGCCACGAGTCAAGCCCGTTATGCTAAACTAATGCTGTACTGTGATCGACGCAAGACGGGGACCAGGAGGGATCTCAGATTCAATTTCTTTGGCTGAAAACTCTCCTTTCTAGCAGTGTCTGGCCCAAGCTTTTGCTGTCGCGTTCACCAGGCGCGTGGAATGAGAGGCGGTCGCGGTAGTGCTCGTGGCGCTGCGACAATCGATAACAACGGAGTAGAGCGCGCTGGCCCAATCACCACGCCGGCGCTTCGCGTCAGTCCATGGAACGCCTCCTGTAGCACGGACAATTTGATCGGATTGGTTAGGAATTGTTTCACGTCTGATAATCTAGCCTGAGTGAATGATCAATTTCACGAAAAAAAGGAAAAAGGACCTGTCTGTTTGTGGTGGGAGGGTCACAATCGATCAGACACGGACGTGCATTTGGAGGTACAGGCGATCCAGCGGGTGCAGATAAACAATTCCTCCCATGCGACAACAACACCTGACGAAGATCAGTCATCAGTCGGATGAAATCACCCACCCACCACTATGCGAGATGGGAAGCAAAGGAGAACAAAAATAGGTCAAGACAATGGTGACCAAAGATTTTAAATCTTCTTTGTAATGAAGGATAAACTCATCATTGTCTCTTCGCCAGGAAGGGCAAGTATAGAATAACACCAACCTCCTGCGTTGCCCAAAGTGGTTTAGCGCATCCGACGCGTGACCGCTGCTGGGGCTCCCCTTCGAACGGTCGAGCAAGAGAGGAAGCCCATCGCCAACCCTTGGATCAAACTGTCTCAATCCTTCCTCCCTCACCAGACGGTGGTCAGGTCAGTATCAAATGACCTCCACAAGCTGTGCGTTTCTTTCTAGTCTGCCTCGGGTCTGGTGAGAGACACTCTGTCGTCACTCTCTGTTCGCTCCTGTGCCCGCTTGCTCCTAGTTTATTTGGTGTATTGATCGGAGCGGAACACAAGGGTCTGGCTGTTGTCATCAGCAACCTCTGCATTCACCACCTTCTACAACCCCGAGCCGCCGATTGACCTGAAGGACAACTCTATATTCGCCCAGTCATTGAATACGATATACCCCAGCTGCTCTTCCCCTCCCACTCTGCCGCCACTTGCGACCCGACGACGTTTGAGACCTGTCGCATTGACCCTGCCTCCAGTTGATCCCGCATTCGACCGCCATTTGCACCTCGTGAGGTTCGCCCCTCCGACAACCATGGGCGACCCCAAGAAATCAGATCGGCCGACCACCCGCAATGCTGCTGCAGGCGCACCGGCCGTCAAGTCGCCCGATCGTACCGGACCAAATGCGTTGACGATCGCATCGCCTCCTGGCTCCAGGACGCCCCCTAGTATGCCGTCGAAGAAGACTCTATTCTACCCGGAACCGCAAGTCAGGAGCCAGAATTCTCGGACTACCTCTGGGCCAATCGATGCGGATGCCCTAGCGAAGGCTCTGAAGGATTTTGAGGATGCTGGACGTCCCCGCGAGAGAACACCGGGTACCAGTCCCAGCAGGAAGAGGCAGAGAGTGTACGGTGATAGGTCAGTAACACATTCAATGGTGCTTTTTGAGAGCGATTCATCGGTCGTGACCATGGACCTATATCCTTTGACATCATGTCACTAAACTGTGAATCCTATTCCAGATTTATTCCCAATCGTGAGGGGCAAGACCTTCAGGCAACGTTCAGCCTGCTTCATGAGGACGGCTGCCCTTCAACACCATCAAAGTCGAAAAAACGTGCTCCCCATTCGGAGCTTCACTTTCAAAAAAGTGAGTCGCATCCGATGTGATCCTGGCATTGCCGATCATCGTCGCTAACCCCGGTGTAGCTGAAGAAGCAAATCGCATGTACTCGCGGGTTTTGCGAAGTGAACTCTTTGGGAATACTGTTCCACAGGCCGATTTGGATTCCCTATCGCCGGACCCCTTGTTGGGTATGGGTAATGGCATAAATGACAAGACCCGCTCACATACGCCACCTTCACATGTGGTCTCGAACCTACCACCTGCCAGCATAACACCATCGACGCCCCACAAAAACCTTTTCAACTACGCTTCCCCACGTGCTGGGTCAGCTCACCCCACACCTTCAAAGACTCCGCGAAGTCAGCATGGTCCGAATCTCAATGTCCGATCAGAGCTCTATAGTCTATCACCAATCCGCCTCGACAGCCAACGTATTCTGGAAACGCCTCGGAAACAGCCTCGCTACGTGAACAAGGTACCCTACAAGGTCCTTGATGCGCCTGATCTGCAAGATGATTTCTATCTCAACTTAGTAGACTGGGGCAGCAGTAACGTTCTTGGGGTGGGCCTAGGCAACTCGGTCTACATGTGGAACTCCCAGACAGGCCGCGTGACGAAGCTCTGTGAGCTACGAGATGATACAGTCACAAGTGTTAGCTGGATACAAAGGGTGAGTGCCCAGTTCTTGGTCAATATGTTCGACGGAAGCGCTAATTGGAGTAGGGAACACATCTTTCAATAGGCACAGGCAAGGGTCTTGTACAAATATGGGATGCTGAGCGCTGTCGTCGCCTCCGTACGATGATTGGACACACGAATCGTGTAGGAGCATTGGCTTGGAACGATCATATCCTCACGTCCGGCTCTCGAGATCGACTGATCTTCCATAGAGACGTCCGCTCCCCGGATCAGTACCTGCGTCGCTTATCTGGTCATAAGCAAGAGGTATGTGGTCTTCGTTGGAACACCGAAGATGGTCAATTAGCCTCAGGCGGGAACGACAACAAACTGCTGGTCTGGGACAAGCTCAACGAAACACCGCTTTACCGCTTTTCCGACCATACTGCGGCCGTCAAGGCAATCGCTTGGTCTCCACACCAGCATCATCTTCTCGCGTCCGGTGGTGGTACAGCTGATCGAACCATAAAGTTCTGGAACACGTCGACTGGTTCCTTGATCAAAGAAGTCGACACAGGCAGTCAGGTTTGTAACTTGGCGTGGTCGAAGAATTCGGATGAGATCATCAGCACGCACGGCTACAGCCAGAACCAAATAGTTATCTGGAAGTACCCTCGTATGGAGCAGATTGTCTCTTTGACCGGTCATACATTCCGTGTACTTTACTTGGCCATGAGCCCCGATGGCCAAACAGTCGTCACCGGGGCTGGAGATGAGACCCTACGGTTCTGGAAGATCTTCAACAAACGACCGGGCAGAGAGCACGGACGTGAAGGTAGCAAGCTAGCAGAATGGGGTACCATCCGCTGACGAGAAAGGTTGCTGTTCATTTCGAAATAATTTGGTGCCATGGCGTCCTTGAACTTGTCGTTGGGCTTACCAATATGCATTAGATATGGCGTTTCCAAGGCTTTGGCGTTTCTTACGATGCTGGGTTCTGTCCTTGGACGGTCTGGAGGAGGGTTTCTTTGTTTTTCTAAATGGGTCTAGCCTGGGCATTTTTTCTCGCATCTCATGGGGTACACAACAGCATATCATGGGTAACTAAAGGGTTCTTTTTCTGCGTCGTTCTGCTTTCTAATAAGTCCTTTCCGCTGGCTGCAACATTTCATTCCATGTATCTCTGGCTCTGCCTGTTTCTGCTTCTACTTTTCTTCTCTTGTGTTTCTTCTCAGCCTACTCTTATTTTTATCCGCGCACAGGTGCCAGCCCATGTCTTTGCAGCAGGCACTCACTATTTGCAGGTTTTCGCTACTATCCATGGAAATGAATCTCAGCGGTGGCGCTTATGGTGTTTTCCTATGGTGAACAGGTAAAACCAGGACCAAGGCGTTGCTCCATCCTCATCCCCAAAGATTCAGGCGGATGTGATGGATTGATTGATTGACTCAATGGGCTTATACACCTCTTTCAGAGTTGCATGATGTACCACACACACAATCCCCTCCCCGCGTTCAGATTTCACGACGGAATGATTTACAACACACCAAGAGCTTCGAGAAGGGTTTGCTTGACTTTAACTATGAGGAACGTGTTGTTTCGCAGGGGGGGAGAACGAAAGACATTTAATGTCATAGATAACGAGAATGAAAGACCAGAAGGGTAAAAAAAAAAAGGAAAGATTCGGAGAGGTTGCAAATTTAGGCCGGTTGCTTCGATAGTATAACACTTTAGTACATAGTTGTTAGTAGATTTCTACTATCTTCAACTTCAATGATATACAATATTCAGAACAGGGTTGATCCAGTCTATAACAATAGTAGTCCACCATTTGGACTTTCGACTCTAAACTGAAAGTTTATTTCATTATCTTCTTGATTGATGTTATACTAAGATAAAAACGGTTCATCAGCCCAATGAAACTAATCCAAGAGATACGTACGAGACAAGACTTTGTCTCCCGTCTTCTGCGCATAACTTACAGCACGAAAAGATGGAAATGGGAAATAACCAAGGAAATGGGAACAAAAAAAATGATGAGAAAAGAAAAGGAATGGAGATCTATAGAACCAGCCTGCCAGGCTCAACAGTCAACAAGGTCTTCACGCGGTCCAAGAAAACCTTCGCCCTCTTCTCTTCCTCAACCGGAACAGTCAGGCTGAAGACGTTCGCGGCCGGCTCGACAACGCTCTTAGCAGTAGCAACAGCCTTCTTGGAAACCTTTCCAGCCAAGAAATCAATCAGATCATCCTCCACCTTTTGCTTCTTCTGCACCGGCCGGGCCTCCTCGGCATTCAACTCAGGGATGTACTCTCCCCGGGAGAACTTGATAGGCTGAGCACCGAGGAGCTCGTCGAACAGCTCATCAGCGGAAGGCTTCTCGAGAGAAGAGCGGGGCAGGTCGTCGTTTGCCAGGTCGGTAGCGCGGGCGAGGAACGTCGACAGCGGCACCGTGGTACCCAGGGATTCTTGGATCTTCTTCTGAACGGACAGCACGGCGGCCAGGGAGATGGAGACGGCGACGGAGGTGGTCGGCGGGGGACGAGCAACGGGCTTCTCTTCCACGGCCGGAACGGGCTCCGCGGGCTTGACGGGCGCGGCGATCTTGATGTTGCTCAGGTCGAGGTGAGCGAGCTTGTCGATCCGGGCTGCTTGCTCAGAAGGGTAGGAGGCGGGGATGGCGCCCAGGTAGGCGAGGACATCGCCCTTCAGGAGACGGCCCTTGGGGCCGGACGCGGGGATCTTGGACACTTCGGACTCCGGGATGCCTTTTTCATGGAGGAGCTGGGTGACGGAGGGATACAGAGGGTAGGCGGGGTTCTGGAATTGAGGGGCGGAGGTGGAGTTCAAGCCTATATGATGAATGGTATGTTAACTGAGGTGAACATGAGGGTGGTTCATGGGCGAATATGGACGTGAAAGGGAGGGGATATGGTGGTGTGGGAAAGTTGATATCAAGCTGTATTTTGTCGGGAAACTCACGCTTGGAGGTGCTGAGAACACGGAATTGACGACGGGCAAGGGCCGCCGGAAGACGGCAGACCGAGAAGGTGGAGGCCATGTTTAATGCGCGAGGCTTTTGGTGTTTGTATAGGACAAGTGAATGTCTTTTCCGAGGGGTGTGGCTATCGTCGGGATCGCGAGCGCTGTAGCTTGGAGTGGGCGGAGATTTGCTGGGATCGGATAGGAACCCACCGCCAGGCTAACGGGGCCGCAGAAAAAGCACAGTGGTCCCTAGAGAGTCGGAGTATAGTCGCAATCTGCGAGCTGAGCGTTGCAGGACGTTCCAAGCCGGAGAATTGCGTCGCTATCGGAAGGGTCAGCTCGGAGAAGGTTGAGGTGATTATTGTTGGGAGCTTCACCGGCGGCCCGGACGGGAACATTTTTCTGCCGCGGAGAACGACGGCCTCGACCTCCTGCCATTGCACCAAGCCATTGGCCTTAATTCCTTTGCTTCCTGGTGAGTCTAATCTGCTTATCTCCTGAAGTCGTTAGGCTCTTTTTCAACGACACTTCAATATGTGAACATTGATGGCTGGGGCCCGTTGTGGCCTGCGCTCCAACTTTTACTCTATCCTAACAGTCGGAATTACCAGGTCGACAAGATGTTTGCGCGGCCGTTTATCTTAAGGGCATTTGCCCAGCAGTGTCCCCGGAGCACTCTCTCATCCGTTCTCGAGTCCTCCAGTCCAGCATGGAGGTATTTCTCCTCCAGTGCCTCGCGAACAAAGGCTGCCAGCAAAACCCAACAGGTCAAGCCCAAGGTGGTGCGCACGGCGCCTGAAGACAGCTTGAAATTTGCCGGAAGACGTCCAGAAGGATTTGGAAAGCTCGAAAGAAAGGTCGCCAAGGAGGGAGAGATTGTCTTGTTCCGGGCACCATCACAACGCGGATACGTGTTGGGCGCCTACGGTATTGCGGGTTTCTGTTTTGCCTACGCTGTATACAATTCCAATGCCGTCTTCCGGGATCCCCTTATACCTCTCCCGATGTGGCAGCAAGCTCTGTTCGGTGGTATTTGCGTAACAATGAGCGTTATGGGTACGGTGTTCCTTTTCAAGACCACTCGGTTGATCCGCGCCATCAGGGCTGTCAATGTCAACGGTCACACACATCTTCGCTTCACCGTGCGAAGCGTGGTTCCGTTCCGCAAGCCCTACGAATTTGACGCCCTGCCGCGTCAGATCGCTTTCTCCCGCCGTTTGGTGATCTCTCCGGATTCGTCTCCGGATATGCTTTTGGAGTCTATCCCGGATGCGCCTGGTATTGCAGGAGAGCGCACTGTGGCTCAGGGTGAGCAAGGGAAGGTTAGCTTCTTCAAAGCTCCCTTCAAGAGGATGAGCATGTCTATGTGGCGGTTGTTCCGGTCTGTCCGGCAGATCTTCTCCCAGGAGGACTTTATCCTTCTGGAAGTGGAGGGCCAGAAGGGCGTTCTGCGCATGGACTCTGGTGGCTACGTCTCACAGGACTTTATGCTTGTTGGCAATCCTGTGAGTTTCCGGCGCTGATAGGAGATGGGAGTCCGGTTTTCGCTATGATATCCTTCTTTTGATGTCTAATTACTCTACTTTTTGTCCTACCTACTTTCCTTTTAGCCTGTTATACGGCATGTCAGACAACCATGTATATATGGAATGAAGTTAAAACACAAGCAATTACCATAAATTGAAGATCTGTAGAGTGTGAGCACTGCCGGGGACAAATACCGTGTAGAAAGTAGCCGGAGTATATGCGGAACCACGTGACCCTCCGCAGCGCGTCCCCCCATCAATCAATCAATCAATCAAGACGCGACTCCGACGATAAACCATTGCGCGAGCCCCTCCACAAATCCGACCCTCTCTTGTGGGCTGTTCCAGCCTGCCGCCTTATTCTCCAGGCGACCTTCACCGGTTTCAACCAACATCAACTTGCGATTTGTATCTGCATTCCCACAGTCGCTGAAACGCGGCTGTCCGTCGCAAGATGGGAAAGCTCATCCGGCTCGAGCTGTTCAGTAAGCAACACCCTCTATCCGGCACTCTCAACCGCTCTGACACCTGCTCTAGATTTCAAATCGTACAAGGGTCATCATGTACTTCTCTTCGGTGATGCCTACTTCACCTCCATCATCGGACCCAACGGGTCCGGAAAGTCCAACTCGTGCGTATCATTCTACCCCATTTCGCGGACAGAGGAAATCAAGCGAGGCAAAGTACGGTGCGCTGACCTTCTCCAGTATGGATGCGATATCGTTCGTCTTAGGTATCAAATCGTCACATCTACGATCCACGAACCTTCGCGATCTCGTATACCGCGGCCGTGTCCTGCGCACATCCAAAGTCGATGCCAGCGGCAATGCCATCGAAGCAGAGGCCAACGGGGATGACCAAGCGGAGGACGGAATCGACGGTGAACAGTCGCAGGACCCAAGCGGAAAGAACGATCCCCGGACCGCGTGGGTTATGGCAGTCTACGAGGATGATGCGGGTGAGGAGCAACAATGGCGCCGGTCTATCACCAATGGAGGTGTCAGCGAGTACCGTATCAACAATCGCATTGTCACGGCACAGCAGTACAACGAGGCTCTCGAGGCGGAGAACATCCTGATCAAGGCGCGCAACTTCCTGGTTTTCCAGGGTGATGTGGAGGCCATTGCCTCGCAGTCACCCAAGGATCTGACGCGGCTGATCGAGCAGATCTCAGGAAGTCTGGAATACAAGGCCGAATACGAGCGCTTGAAGGCGGAGGCGGAGGAAGCCGCAGAGCAACAGACTGTGCAGTTGAACCGTCGCAGAGGTATCAATTCGGAAATCAAGCAATACCAGGAGCAAAAGCGCGAGGCCGAGAACTATGCCCGGAAGGCCGAGGAACGCGATCAGGCCATCATCACGCATATCTTGTGGAAGTTGTTCCACTTCCAGCGCCTTATTGATGCGTCGAGTGCGGATATCCAGAAATATCAGGATGAGCTGAAGGAGTTCCGCCGCGGCGTTGAGAAATACGAGAAGAATGTGGAGGACGCTAAGAAGGATCATGCTCGGGTTGGTCGAGATGTTGCAAAGGCTGAGAAGAACATCGTGGCCAAGGAGAAAGAGATCGAGGAGTCTACGAATGCCCTAGTACCTGTTGATGAGAAGGTCGACATTACGAAGAAGAAGGTCGACCGCTTCACCTCCCGGATTGCTGAGATTACTCGGGAGCGCGAGGGTCAAGCGGCAAACGCCAAGCAGCTCGAGAAGGATCTCAAGGTTGTCGAGAAGGCTCAAGCTCAGTGGGAAGCTGAGTGGCAGAAGACCATGAGCAAACAAGGTGGCCAATTGAGCGAAGCCGACCAGCAGGAGTACAAGCGGCTCAGGGAAGAGGTCAACAAGAAATCTTCCGCGGAACAGCTGAACCTAGACAACCTGCGTCGTCAGCGCAAGACTGAAGCCGAGGCCTACAACAGCCTGAAGAGCAAGTTTGAAGGTACCGAGTGGCAGCTCAAGACTCTGGAGTCTGAGACACAAACTTTAGCCGAGCGCAAGTCGTCGGTTACTGATACTGTCAAGTCTACGTCGAAAGAAATCGAGCGCAAGAAGAAGGAGCTGAATGCTCTAACTTCTGAACGGCTACGTGTCTCTCAGATGAGAACGGAGCTTGAGGAGAAGCTTCAGGTTGTGTTGAAGAAGCTTCTCGAGGCCGATGATGGCAAGAAGCAGTCTGAGAAGGAAATAAGAGCCAAGGAACTGATTTCGACCCTCAAGCGGATCTTCCCGGGCGTCAAAGGCCGAGTAAGCGACCTCTGCAAGCCTAAACAGAAGAAATACGCCGAAGCAGTCAGCACCGTACTTGGACGGCACTTTGACGCCATCGTTGTGGACAATGAGAAGACAGCGAAGGAGTGCATCCAGCACCTCCGCGACCAAAGAGCCGGACAGGCGACATTCATTCCTCTGGAAACAATCCAAGTTAAGGCCTTCAACTCCAACCTGAAGGGTCTGCACAGAGGAATGCGCCCAGCGATCGAGACCGTTGACTATGACGACTCGGTTGCCAGAGCCATCAGCTACGCTTGTGGAAATGCCATTGTCTGTGACGATTTGGCTACTGCCAAGTATCTTTGCTACGACAGGAACGTTGATGCGAAGGCCGTTACTCTTGATGGGACCGTCATTCACAAGGGTGGTTTGATGACTGGTGGTCGCGGCCCTCAGCAGAACTCCAAGCGCTGGGAGGATTCCGAGGTCGAAAACTTGTACAAGCTTAAGGACAAGCTGATGGCAGACTTGGGCAACCTGCCCAAGGGTCATCGCCGCGGAACGGAGGAGGAGACTCTGCAGGGTGAATTGGTTGGTCTTGAGCAACAGCTTGCCTACGCCCGTGATGAGCTGAAGGCCCTCGAGAGAAATCTCGAAAGCAAGCACAGTGAACTCGACTTTGTGAGGCGCCAGCTCGAGGATGTAAGGCCTAAGTATGTTGAGCGCCAGGAGTTGCTCGAGGAGCTCGATCAAACAATCGCTACCTCTCAAGAGACTGTCCGCAGTGTGGAGGATGAAGTTTACAAGAAGTTCTGCAAACGCCTCGGGTATAGCAATATCCGCGAATATGAGGTTCAACAAGGCTCTCTGCAGGAAGAGGCTGCTCAAAAGAAGCTCGAGTTCACGACGCAGAAGAGCAGAATCGAAAACCAGCTTAGCTTCGAAAAGCAGCGCCTTCAGGCAACTGCTGACCGTGTTGCTGGGCTTCAGGCACAACAGCAGCGTGACGAGCAGTTGATTGAGGAGCTTCAAGCTGAGCAAGAGAGCATCCGAAATCAACTCGATGAGTTTGAAGCTGAGCTTGACATTCTTCGTGAGAAGCTCGAGAAGCAAAAGGAGGCTTACGCGCAGTCAGCCGAAAACCTTGCACAACACCGCCGGGAGCTCCAAAGACGCAGCAGAGAAGTCGAAGGGACGATCAAAAACGTCAATGCCCTGGAGGCGGAAATACAACGCAATTCGTCTAGTCGATACGCTCTACTCCGGCGTTGCAAGCTTGAAGACATTGACATTCCATTGACCGAGGATTCGAATCCGCTTGACCAACTTCCTATTGATGAACTGGTTCAGGCGGCAGACCCCGACGCCATGGATGTGGATGAAGACGGCACTGGAAGCGGTGGTCAGGCTTTCATGGTGCAAGACTACGGCATTGAAGTCGACTTTGACTCCCTGGGAGAAACTCTGAAGGAGGTGAGCTATGCCGTTTCGGAGTTATCAACATGATCAACATTTGCTAATTGTCAATAGGAGAGCGACGAAAAGTTAGAAGAGGAGCTGCTGGAGAAGGTTCGGTCCCTCAACAGCGAGCTTGACAAGATGGCGCCCAACACGCGCGCTATGGAGCGTCTTGAGAGCGTGGAGAACAAGCTCAAGGCGACAGAGAAGGACTTTGAAGACTCCCGCAAGCATGCGCGAAGGACCAAGGATGACTTTGAGGATGTGATGCACAAGCGTTCGGAACTCTTCAACAAAGCCTTCTCTCACATCTCCGAGCAGATTGGGCCCATCTATCGTGAGCTGACCAAGAGCGCCAACTACCCGCTGGGAGGACAAGCGTAAGTGGTTTTCTACATCCTTAGATCAGAGCATCAGAGAACTAACAATGATACAGCTATCTCGATATCGAGGACTCCGACGAGCCGTATCTCGACGGTATCAAATACCATGCCATGCCCCCTCTCAAGCGATTCCGCGACATGGAGCACCTCTCCGGTGGTGAGAAAACCATGGCTGCCCTGGCCCTGCTGTTTGCCATCCACTCCTACCAGCCGTCGCCGTTCTTCGTTCTGGACGAGGTCGATGCGGCACTGGACAACACCAACGTTGCCCGGATTGCCAACTACATCCACGACCACGCGGCACCAGGCATGCAGTTCATCGTGATCAGTCTGAAGAACGGACTCTTCCAGAACAGTGAAGCGCTGGTTGGAATTTACCGAGACCAGGTAGAGAACAGCAGCAAATCCTTGACTCTTGATGTAAGCCCTTGCCCCTCCCCCAGGATTCTTTTTGTTCTATCTTCGCCCGGGGTTATGAGAATGCTAACATTTTTCTCCCAACAGCTTCGTAAATACAACTAAACGACTGAAAGGCTGTTTCTTTTTATTCCTTCGGTGTTATGTAGAATATCTGACGATGGCTTGATGGGCAGCATGCTTTTTCTTTCTCTTTAGTTGACCTGTTTACGGATTAATGCAATGATTACTTGCTTTCTTGATGCCTCAAAAGCTGCCTAAATTGTTACCCCCACATAAATAGTAGTAATCCCAGCCTCTCTGGCCTATGTAACGATCTACGGGCGCGAAGCTTGTCTGGAAGAAGAAATACTACCCGGGAATCCGGTAGTGCGGAATGAGTATTTGGGTTGGATGGCGGAGAAGTATCCGGAGAGGTAAATATATCTCAGCTTATTATAAATACTACTAGTACTCACTGGGAGGGGTTTGTATTGATTGCTTGGTTTTGTTAATATGGCTAACAGCATGCTACGGAGTAACATTCGATCACGTTGTTCCAGCTGATGAGATAAATCCAAAGGTATTGCAGATTAACACCGTTGAGATTGAAGATGATGCGGGTGGGGGTTATGCGAATACATGGCTGTTATTTGCTGTAGATCCGGCTGGCTATATTGGGGGAAATGTATTGGCTATGCTGAGATGTTGTCAGAAAACAAAAAGAGGACGCAGGATTGTTGGAGAGTCAATGCGCTTGTGGATAGAAGCTGAGGATTTATGGGAGGGATGGATTTAGGGACCCGAGGGAGGAGTTTGTGTAGTTGTTAGCGTGAGAGTAAGTAGTAGTCTCAGTGGTAGTTGTGAGATAGGTTAGTTATATAAATGCCATATGTGTTCAAGCATTCAGAAGCTTTCCTTGGCCCTTGCGGATAGTCATGCCAATGCCATGGAGTGTGTGTTCATTATTTCTACATACTGAGCGGTTAATTTATTCTAGTATTACTGCATCATCTACCCCCCTCACCACAAACGAACCCTTATTACCCATCTACCGAACAATTACCCGACTCCATCTAACAACAATCAAACATAGAGGTGTAAAAAGGAATAGATCTACATCCACTACTACATAGCAAACAGCAAGAATTACAGTTCCAACTGTGTCTTCCCCTCTCATCATCCCCGCACATTCGGAGGGAATTTCCCCGCGCCGCCAATTACCCTCCAATAGATGGTTTCACTTCATCCAAGGTTTTGAGGGCTGGTAGTGGTGGTGGTGCTATCCCGACCCCGCCGGTTAAAGTGGTCTTAATTAGTAGTACTTACTACCCCGGGATTTGAGCTATTAGAAGAGTACTAGTACTTAAGTGCTAAGTAGTAATGTTGGGATGTGGGGTAATTGATGCGTTTCTTCTCCGAGGCAGTGAGGATATATATTGAATGATGATATATACTCATATTTTCGTCATATAGTCACTTATCACTTACGACTATTTATTTGATACTAGAATTATATCTCAAACAAAGTCACCAATAAGCTAGACTTCTATTTGAAAAAGTATCACGGAAATGCATCATCGTCCAATCACATTACTCTCTCTCCTACTTGGAGCTGCACACAGCATTGCAGCTCGTCCGACCTTCCAAGATGAAAGGAGCACCTCATCATTAATCAGTCTGAGTGCATCAGTTCCGGATGATGCAGCTCTGCCGGTCTTGCATCCTTTTGTTTCATTCTCTATTGAATTTGCGTTCTTTCCGGATTATGCAGGTATGCCAAATCCCTCTATCTCATTCAATACGAGTACTACTTGAATACTAGTGAGATAGCTACTACTACCACTACTATGCTGTGTTGTGGTATCAGTAGTTAGCGGGGGGAGAAGTGTTGATAATATATTAGTAGTACTATTAGGTCTGACCCATTTTGATGATCCCAGGAAACCTATCACATCCGAATCTCTTCTCGAATCACCTGCTAGACAATCTGGCCGAGTTGCAGGGCGCAAAGCCGTACATTCGTGTTGGAGGGAATACTCAGTACGTGTCAATCTCCATCATCCTCAATTCTATCTTCCCCATCTAGGCAAAGAGGGGAAGGAGGGGTAGGAATCTAATTAAATCATGCAGAGACTTTGCCCTGTATGATCCGAACCTACAAGCAGCCACAAATGCCACATACATTACCAGCATTTCGACAGATTACCCGATAATTTTTTCGTTTGGCCCCGCCTTCGTTGAGTCGTACTTCACCTGGCCGGGAACAAAGTTCATCCACGGTTTTAACCTGGGGAAAAATAGCTCGACAGATATAGAGCTCATGCTAGAATCCGTGCCGGTGGTGTGTAAGGCTCTGGAAGGAGGAAAACTGGCGTATTGGGAACTGGGGAATGAGCCGGATTTGTACAAGACGTCCGCACAGGGCATCAAGAGACCGGCGAACTGGACGGAACAAGACTATGTGAATGAGTGGTTGAACAAGACAGCGCGGATCGAGAAGAGATTGGTCGAGGCGTGTCCTGAGCTCGCAGACTCAAAATACATTGCGCCTTCATTCGCCGGGGTCACCAACAGCTTGAATCCCGTGGTGACGTGGGAGAAAGGCCTAGACAACAGCCGGAACATTGCCCTCAATTCCGAACACAAGTGAGTTTGGTGGTGGCCAAGTCCCCAGCCCCCAGCCCCAATTGTACTCTGAACGCGAAAGGATGGAGCACAGGTCGAATTTGGCTAATAGGTCGCGTTTGACGCAGCTACATCGGTGGCGCCACTCAGCCGGGAGTAACACTGCAGAATACGCTAATGAACCATACTAAGACGGTGGAAAGCGTCGCACAACAGGTCAACGTCTCACGTATCTTGTCGAACGACAACCTGACCCCGGGCATCCCCTATATCCTGGGCGAGACCAACTCTTTGTACAACCAGGGCGCGCCTGGACTGTCCAATTCATTCGGGGCTGCACTTTGGGGGGTAGACTTCAACCTTTACTGCGCCTCGCAGAACATCCGCCGAACCCATATGCATCAGGGAAGTAATTACAATTACATCTCCTGGCAGCCAGTAGGAACGAATCGTACATCCATAGGCACGAAGGCGCCGTATTACGGCAATGCCATGGTGGCGGCCATGCTCCACGGCGGAGACGATGTCCGTATTGTCAATCTCCCGCTGGCCGCGGATACGGAAGCCGCATATGCCGCGTACGTGAATGACTCTCTGGTCCGAGTGGCTGTCATCAACCTGGTGGAGTTCAACTACACCTCAACCGATTCGATAGCAGAGAAAGTGGAGAGCAGACCCAGCGCGAAGTATACGTTCCAGTTGCCTTCATCTGGATCGGTGTACTCCGACTCGGTTTCAGTGCAGCGGCTGATGGCGAACGGCAGCAACGCCATCACGGGGATCACCTGGGACGGCTGGTCTTACAATTACGAGCTGGCACAGGGTAAGCCAGTTCGATTGCAGAACGTAACGATCGGAGAGGCGATCTCGGTGGGCGACGATGGGGTTGTGGAGATCGAGATCCCCTACTCCAGCGCTGCAATCCTCAGTCTGTGAAAGGTCATCCGGTGTGGGCCGTAGAAGCTGTAACAATAGGGTATGCATGGTAGAAGATATCTATCCGCGGAACTCTGGCCTCTGTATCATTCATGATGCGGCTCCCACGCGGTTAGCATCCGTGGAAAGGATAGCCAGTCTGAACCTTGTTAGATCATAACAATCCAAATGGTGCTTAGAACAGAAGAGGAAAGCTGGGTTTGGTAATTACGAAATACTATAAAGTTCCAGAGGGTTTTTAGCCTTTCTCTAGATGCGGATGTGTAGCTCAAGCCTGGGCATTTGCTGGAGCACAGAGTCTTTCCCATTCGAAGTATCGGCGGCTTCATCATTATGTTCCAAGCGGTACGGAGAAGAAGCCGAATCCTCACTTCAACTTGACGATCAGCTCCATCTGCCACTTTCAGACGAGGAAATATCAACCCCGAGCCTGCTCCGTACTAATGCGGAGTACGTGGGAATCATCTGAGACTCGCGGATTTGCCTCATTGATGGCAATCATGATTTTCCAGCCGAAAAGGGCATTTTAAAAATCCAACAAAGCATCGATTTGTTCGGAGGATATCTTCCAGAGTCGGAAACTCAGAGCAAATAGTTCTCGATTTGTTAAAAATAAACAAAGTGGATGGTGGCAACTCTCCCGGTACGGCGTTTGCGAGAGACCTGTCGACCGACGGCGAGACAGATGTAACCTTGATGGGGGTAAAAAAATGGTCGGTTGTACCATGTCTCCCGCGGCGACAGATTTTGAATTCTATTGATCGAATAATCGGTGTACAGCTAGTCAATGATCTGCGTTAGCGGGTTGATACGTAGCTTCCCCCAAGCCACGGCCCAGTTAGCCGGGCTGAGTGGTGGCGCGACGGACGGCTATCCCACTTCCTCGGAGTACCAGGACTCGCCTGATGGATCGATTCATGCAAGTGCTCGGACTCTGACCTAGCCTTTAATTAATATTCCAAGGATTGACCGCAGAATTGTCTTCTGTCTGGTCGAGTGTCATTGGGGCAGTAGTAGTTAGCTAGAAGGGTTGTTGTCGCCAGGCAGAGCATTGCGGATTTTCCTAGCGTGAGGCATGCTCTGCTTCGCTGCCCATCGTCTTGCCCTTCTCTACCCCGTAGTCATGGCTCACTCGGGCTGAAGCATGCAAGCCATCATGCAGGGTTTCCAGGTAAGAAAGCAAGTTTGCAGGACGATGTACGTAGGCGGATGTCTCACCGTCTGCATGTTTCCTACAAGGGCCCTAATGGTGAAGGTTCGGGAAGCTAGAATTGAGAGACTGGAAAGAGCTGAAGAAGCGCTATAGAGGGGATGTCCCCGCTACGCACTATGGTAATGGGTATGGATCCCTGCGCTCTCCCCCCTTTTCTTCTCTATCTGTCAGTGGGTGATTTTGATGCTCAATAGGTGACCTACAGGATAGACCCCGTCCGGCTAGTGGCTAGCGTTCCACGCAAACATTCTGTGGATCATCGGTCCACCGTGGCTTGCCAGGCTGGTCAAAATCGCGAGTCGATAGCCAAGGGGCCCGTGTGCTGTAATACTTGACTTTTTCTGCCTAGCCGTTCTTGACGCAGGCTCCGCAAGTAATGGAAATGGTGGGAAATACCGGACCCAATCGTCAGTGATGGATGTATTATCCGTGTAATACATAGCACAATACTCCTCCCAAACAACCAGGATACGTATTTTCCTAGGTTTCTAGTTGCGAAAATAATCTCCCGCTTGGACTGGTTTGCGAGACCAAAGGGTTGTAGAGTTGTCTTGGCTTCATAGTGCGGCAGGACACTCTATGATCGTTCTCCACTCCAACGCGATACAGTTGAACCTTAAATGAGAATCTAATATGGTTGCCGTTGACACTTGACAGAGTATGGCTGCGATCGGCGGTCAGGCTCTAGGGGTGGTCCTTGAGGTCTTACGCCCAAACTCCGCAATTTCCGCACTGACTGCGAGAGAGGCAGTATCGGCAAAGTCTAATTGTGAGGACTTTGACAAAGGAATTATTCCCACTGGCGGAACGCCGATCCTAGTCTTCTTGTGGCTAGGCTTCATTTGAGCAACCCAATCTAGCTGTCACTCAGAGCCCAGTCTGACCTGCGGGCTCTGGGCATGACAGGAAGAAGCGAAGCCGGCACCATACTCACGGCTCGCCGTAGCACCATGAGAGGCTACCAAGAGTCTGCATTAACCTATGATCTCTCTTCAATGGTAACTTCCGGGTACTTCCACTGCCATGTGACTTTTTGCCTCTGCCTAATACGGTGTATTGGCTCCTGCAAATCCCGAAGGTAGTTATCATGTATCAGCTAGCCTGCGCTATTGCGTCAAAAGAAATATGCCAACCTACTGTACCCCAGAGACGCCTGTGATTGGTAAATTGAGATGAGTCTATTCCTTGAATTAGCTTGCCGGCCAAGGGGGTTCTAGTCTGGCATGTACTACAGCACAGAAATTAACCAGGCCGAGCGTAAATGCATGATCCCTGAATTGTATGGCCGTCACTGTGTTTCGGAACCCAATGACCTTAACCTGAGATTTTAGTGGAGTCGTTCGATGCTTGGAGTGCACCTATTCGCCTAGTTCCCCTCTCGACAGGCCCATCTTTACTCTTGCACAGAGAAGTAACCTTTCTGTTCGTCAACCATGTTTTCTGCGGAACTGATTAAAACCACGTAAAGAAACAGAGGATGAGTACGAGTGTCGTATCTGTAGCTCTCCAGTCATGTGTATAACAAAATAAGCATTTGCCACTGTATCGCTCGAGCCCTCATTAAATACACTGATCCTCTGCTCCGTAGGCGATGGGGCTAAGGCAGCCAGACGTAAGCCTCAAACGGGAAAGACCAGAGGGAGCTGCATGGTTAGGCTCCATGCACGCATGGCAACGGAAACAGACTAGATGATAGAGCGTTGTCCGTAACAGTTAATGGTCAGACTCTGTATGTATTTGTTTTCCTTGCATTAGTTTGCACGTCATAAGTGCCAGAAGGCCGCGTTGAACATCATGACATGATCCAATGGCCGAATGTTGACCAACGTACTTTTGTCCACATCTGTAATTGCCCTTCGGTCATCAACTCCGAAGGAACTTGTTTCTTTTTCCCTCGGTATGTTATATTTGGTAGTTCCAGACCTATATAGGCCGTTGCCCGAGCCTTGAAGATCATGCACACGAAACTTCTTAAGCTGCCAACTCCCCATTGGCTTCCTTGAATGTTGATGTGAGGTGGCAGTATCTGATTTTATCTATCCATTCCATTATCATTGTCGATAGTCGGTAAAGAGTGAGCATAGGCGACTCGGCTCGACACTGACTTCCTATAGTAGAGTATGACAAGTCCGGTCCGTGCTACCATTGCGATAGGTCAGTCCACGAAAGCTAATAAAGCCCAGCATCAGATGTTATCATATCACGATATGACTGCTCAGGCGAGCCACACAGTAAGGACAAGCTCCCCAGTCTGAACTAGGATGGATCATCCAACTGATGTCATGTCATGGTAGGACATGCAACGTGCATCATCCGCAGTCAACTTCCGTTATACGCACTTCGCTATGCTTTGCATTGACCACAATGGGGACCTTCGCATAGAAGCGTCGCCGTCCATTGCAGGCTGCGAAAAGGCAATTTTCACAGACGACGTGCAGGACCGATTTCTAAAGTCGGTGACTACAGCATGGCAGCCCAGCCTGCAGAGTCTCCATTCCAGTAAGTGATTTGGCAATTGTAAAACCGAGCCAGCCAAGGATGAAGTAGTAACCAAGACGTGTTCCTGCCCGAACCAGGCACCTTGAGTCACATGAGCGGCGATGTCACGGGGAAGCCGATGCTTCTGTCCAGTCCTTCAATCGGCCTACAGCACACATGGTATCAGCCAAGCCTCCCACGACAGACCGGCCTCATTCCCTGTGAATGGCAGTCCTTGCAAAACAAGCGTCACAGGCGTAGCTTGAGACATGAACTCTCGGGCATCGGACTTGATTTGGATTCCGCCTCACCCACACCGTCGCTAAGGCGCACAGCACTTCGACTAGGGCAAACGGATCTTGTGCGACGATACTATGAGAAGGCATTCGAAGCTTTTCAACAGCTAAACTGCAGGGTTATCGCCAAAGCATTTGTGAAATTGGTGGAACCGCGCAAGCAGGTCAACCACCCATACAATGGACGACGGGCTGCCGGAGGATCATCACAGAAGATGGATTCTGAATTGACTAAGCCGAAATGGTGGCCTACAGGGGTGACACACAAAGAGCCCGACCATCTTCAAAAGGCCGGTAAGATGCTCCTAGCTTCCATCGGGTTGAATTGTGAGAGTTGAATACTTACTTACTGGTATCATCTCTCTCTTCAGAGAGAATCAGGCTGCTTGTTCATATTCTGTGTGAACTGAAGGAGAGTCGAGGAATCACCGCTGAGAAGCTCAAGGATGCTGGACAAGACGTGCGGCGCCAGATTCAGCCCGAGAGCCGCCTACAAGTTCTTGATGAGATATACTACGTTCGTTATATGGAAGAATTGTACATGGAGGGCAAAATTAGTACGCACTCGCTTCCATACCTTAGGGGACTGAAGTCACACCCCAACACCATGCGACTAACACTTTCTATAGGTGGGGACACAATGATTTACGTTTCTCATGTCCATCTGGATGAGGACTTCTTGTTCGCTGAATTACGGGACCAGACAACTAACAACTCTCGTGAACTGTCACTTCCGATTATGAACAACAAGCCAGATGCCCCCAAAGCGACGGAGGGAAGCAAGAGTCCTGGGAACCAGAGTGAAGTGCAAGCCGCCACGGACAAATCGCACACTGACATGCCTGTACCTTCCGACGAGCGGCGCCTGCCACCAATGGAGGTGAATCACCAAACAAAACGCTCCGCCAATCAGGACTACTGCTACCCTCCTTCGCCGGTATCCAGCCCATCCATCAGTCGGAAGAGCTCCTTGGAAAGCGGCTTGTCTGCATACTCAACAGACATGGCTGCACCGATGCTGTCAGGGAGTGAACCCAGCGGGGGGTCCTGTGCTTCTAGGGATATCCATCCCACTGAGGCTTCATGCATGCCGGATTATTTTGGTAGCCAGCAAATGGCCACTTCATCTGCTGAACAAAG